TGATGGATTAGAAAATGTCTTGTTCCAAAGAAACTTCCTCTTCCTTGGCACTGCTTGGCTTTGTAATGTTTTACTCCATCTATCCTTCAGTTGTAAAGTGTATGCATTTATTAAGTAAGTTTAACAATAGCTCCGATAAGTAAAAGCACAATTTCAGAATACTTTGTAAGCAACACTGTCAAAGAGGGTCCATCTCTTTAGAGACGCATGTATAGAAATAGCTTTTAAATGCTGACATTAGATGTCAGATATCCGCCAGGGAATGAATGATGCTCATTGTCCACTCTGGATCTCAGACTCATTATCCCTCTATTATCATCTTCCCACTGACTTTGGAGAACTTCTCCCTCTTATCGGTGAAGTGTCGCTGATCTAATGGGCCTGGGGTGTCCATTACAAAGTCAAAATGGCTGCAGATGCGCTGTTGCCACTGTCTGCTTTAAGACGCATTGAGGTGAAAAGAGAAGTTCAGAAAAAAGTTGCAATAGTTTTTAATACACAGGAAGGGAAACTTTTTAGTTTCAAAATTCATAATTCAAACGTCATTATCAGATATATTTTGCTGGATAGTTTTGATATTAATGAGAGCTGTAGCCTCTGAGTAATATATCAAAAATTTAGTTCAATTTATATATTTTTTTTCTAAATAAATGTTCTGTTTTTCTTGACTCAGAGCGGGTTTTCTGTAATAAGTGACTCTCATGAGATGACAAAGGTTGTCAGACAGGAAATAAGCTCTCTGTCAAAATGAGATGCTTAAATAAAAGTTGTCGTTAGTTAGACAAGCAGTTCCCAGCAGTTCTTGGTCCCAGCATGACTCCGTGCCTCTCTCTGAAAGTCATCTGCGATGGAAGTCAGACATTTTGAAATTGGAAGATTCATTGCAATTACATGTCATTCAGTCCGTAATTTCCTCCCGGCAATACTTTCTTAAATTCAGTCAGTGTTTTCTCTGTAAACCTCTGAGTCTGAGACATCAATTGCATGCAGCAAATCAGTGGTTGGATAAATGTGTCAGTATAAATTTTGAAGAAAAATCCTTTCCACTTAAGTCAAGTGACTTTTTCACTCCAATTAAATAATTTCATTTTTTTTTCTCCAACATCTGTTCTAACAACAAGCACAGAATGAGTAAATGGTTTTACCAGTCGTCCAGTTTGCCTATATCATTGATCTGATTGGTGATCAGCAGGTCAGATATTGAAAATCATAATCAGCAGCTATACCTTAAAAAAGTTTATTATCTTTGCATTGATCAGTAAACAGTAATTCTTTGTACATATCTCTTCAGGACAATTTTTGTTGTTTAGGTCAGGTAACCAATTATTAATCCAAAATACAGTTTATGAAGAGTAAATCAGAAAAGGCTTACACTTCTGGAGTCTTGACAAATTATTTTAGCAACCGCAGAAATGGGCTTATTGATATCGGTTTAGAGGAGCTCAGACAGGACATTTAGAACTGAAATATTAATGAAAAACAGCACATCAAGCTTAATAGAGTTTATAGTGGGTGGGCTGCGTCTCAGTAAACAGCAGTTTCTGGGAACACACTGTTTTTGGTGCTTGCATGTTATTGTTGACAACTGATGCACTAAGACATTGCATCAGAGTTATAGCGTCCCCTACATTTATATTACTGTCAGTCACATGACTTCCTGCTGAGAAAACCCGCCAAGTCCCCCCTTGCAGACGTTTACCTTCATGAACGAATGTCTTTTTGTCTCTCTCACATAAACATAAATGCGCTTCATTGCTCAGGAGGACATGATTTTATTTGTGCTCTTTTGGGTAATCATGTTAAAAGGAGAAAACTAAATCATTTGTCATGATTCTCTCGCATGCAAACCTTGTTCCAAATTCTTCTGCCTTTCTGGGTTTGCCACAATTGCCATCACTTTTTTCCTCTTTCCCTCATTGTCCTTTACTTCCTCGATCCTTTTTCATGTGCTATTTAGTCCCGCTGTACTTTCTGGCATCATAATTTACAGTGGTTTTATGTACTCTTTTGTTCACCGCTGATGAAATTGTAATTTGTCACATTAACAGTCTGCTGCCTTACGTTCCTACACACAAGGCAAACTGTTCTCCAGTTTGCCTTCATTCGCAGTTGTATGTTCTGAGGTGCATGCATTTATTGTATGCTACTTATTATTGTAGATGATCAAAAGCAAACAATAAATTCTGTAAAAATGTGGCAAAACTTAACAGTGTTGTGGAAATGTGAACAACAACCTGCATTCCACAGAAGAATGTTGGCAATAAACGTTTCATTGGTCCAGAATGGCATCAAATGAAATGGACCTGGGGTCACTGTTTTCAATAGAGATCACCGTGTCATTTTATAAATGACATATCTAAAAACTTTTTATGCTCCACTTTCCAATGTGTTTTCTACTTCAGAGTTTTGAACTATTTTGTTGGTGTATTACATGAAATCCTTCAATATTTTAAAGTTCCTTCTAATAAATTCACAACATTTTGAAAATGTTGTCATGCTTTTTTTCAATATTGTGTGAAACAAAGCTTTTTTTCAATATTGTGTGAAAAGTTGCATAGTTGTTGGAAATAGTGCATTTTCAAAACATGGGAGTGGTTCTTATCTGTCATTTGCAAAGGGTGGACAATCCTGTTGGAGGACTGATACGCAACTCTGTATAAGAATCAACTTAAAATTAAATGCAGATTGACTTCTCTTTTACGCTATTGTTACACTAAGTAGAAGAATTAACCTGGGGCCTTTAAAACTAATTGCAACAAACAAAGTAAACATCAGTTATAGCTGTGGGAGTTGTAAAGTTGCTGATTAGGTTATTGCCACCTTGCATCTCGCAGCTCTCCCAAACATTTACACATCAATCTGCAAAGTTCAAATTGATTTCAGATTTTCATCTTTGAACATTATCTGACACTCTGCATCGTCCCAGACATGTTGACCTGCTTAAAAGAGATTCGGGAATCAGAATGTAAGAATCCTAAGCACCCACCAGACATCGCAAGAGTTTTAATCCCTTTCTGTTTACACAATTTTACCATCACCATACATGAAAGCTGGGGAGAGAGTGAAGGTCACGGGAAGAGCGTCGAGTTAAGACTCATGCGAGGCGTCTGCTGGTCATCTAAGCCTTTTCATCCCTCTAACATATTCTAGATCTTCATTTCATTCCTCCCACTCATGTCGTTCCATTGTGCTTTGCCAAGACCTGAACTCTTGCAGCTCTGTTGCCTTCAAGGGGATCTTACCTTCAAAAAATCTTCCCTTTAATCACCGTCTCCCCTTTGTCTGTAGATACGGATTAGATGATGCCTCCCCGACTGAATCCTTCATCTGCACATATTAGGATACAACTGCAGTTTTTGAACTCCATATGTTTTCCCTGATTTACCTCCCACATGCTGAGACTCTCATGTAATCCTGAATTCCTCAGTGGGATTCACAAATAACCAGTTTTGCTTAATCTACCTTTTGCACAAAAACAAGTTGGGTTTTACATTAAATGCAGAATTATTAGACAAGTCTTCATTTTGAGGATTATTTTTTTTTATTAATCAACGACTTCAGTGCTCTTGGTTAATCAAAAAAGTTAAAGCGCAAAACGTAAAAGTGAGGTTTTCGCTTTTTCAGGAGAGTATTTATGCGCTCACAATGCTTAGGCAACTATTGTGCAGAGTCATTATTCCACTAAAATGAAATCACACATTGTCCCGTGTTTTTTAACTATCATCTCTTTAGGTGTGAACAACTAAAGAACTAAAAACTTTTTAATAGGTGATAACCCAGAGAGCGGTCTTGTATAAACATCAGAACTGCTTTCAGTTTCTCAACTGGGTTCAGGTCAGGTGAGGAAAGGTGGCCAAAAGAAAAGGAGCTCACATTATGGCAACCTTGAATGGAAATATTGTGGTCTTGTTTCAAAATGATCAAAAAATGTAAAACAAAATTAATAAAATGTCCTGATTGCTTTTTTCCAAATATACCTGGAAGAATTATTCCTCTCTGAGTTCCTCCAGACTTTGACGCCTTTTTGACATTGTCCTCTTTAAAGTGTAACACTAGCATAAAAAACAGATCTTATGTTGTTAGTCGGTCTATCTGCCCATTCAGACTGCTGCTGCAAAATCATCAGAGTGCTAACAGCCTCAAAGACATTTTTCCACATTACAAGTACTTTTGATCACATTAAAACCTGTTAAATTATGTTGCATTTCAAAGTAAAAATCTTGTACAGCAATAGCGACAGAGACTGGAAATGTTTTGAATGATAGATTTGAGTCAAACCAAATTATGACATGTATGAACTATATTTAAAGTGAAAATTTAATTAATCCTCTGCTTGACAGAACAAACAATATTACTTAATTAAGTGTAAGAAAATTTAGGCAGCAAAGCGTTGACAGACCTTATACTTGTAAATTGCAAGTTACTGTTTTAAAGCAGCAATACTTTAATTAAGGCACATAGCGTTCTCTTTGAGAAAACAGTCAAGTTTCTTTAGTAATTTACATTTTAAAAAGGCTAATTTCTTCCCTGGGAGAACAATTTTCCTAAAGGTATTATACTATTGCAGTAGGAAAAGTTTTTAATCAGTGTCTTTAGACATCTCTCTGCAAAGCTATTTTGGAGTGGCATTATTTTGGATGCCTTTATCCTGTGCTTTTTACTATTATAATTTTTTTCTGAAACATTACTGAATTCCTTAATTCACCTTTGTGGGAAGAAGGGGGAAGCATTGTTTTTAATCCAGCTGACCATCAACTTGTGAGGGAAGGGGACACACACTGACTTATGCTATTCTGTACAGATGAAGAAAAGTCCTATGGAATCTGGTATTTGCTTCAGTCATTAAAGGCTTTTAACCTGAATTAACATAATGAATTGTTTTCAGTTTTGAAACTAAGTCTAAAACTGGCCTATGAGTGACCTTTTAATTTTTTTTCCCCTTTTAATTTATATTTTTTTCTGTGCTCTTAACCCTCTCATATCTTTTTTCTTCTGTCCAGCATGTGAATTAATGAACCAGGGGATCCTTGCGCTGGTTACGTCTACGGGTTGCGCCGCTGCGAGCGCCCTTCAGTCTCTAACAGATGCAATGCACATCCCTCACCTCTTCATCCAAAGAAACGGGGACGGTGGACCCCGCACCGCTTGCCAGCTCAACCCCAGCCCAGACGGAGAGAGCTACACACTGGCCGCCCGTCCGCCCGTTCGCATCAACGACGTCCTGCTTACCCTCGTCTCAGAGTTTCACTGGCAAAAGTTTATAATCTTTTATGAGAGTGACTACGGTAAGTGAAGCTCGATAACTCAGCGGATTACTGAATGTGTCTTGTAAACATGAATATTGCATTCATTTAATGCCGCCAAACCATCTTTGTTTTTCAGCGTTCACAATCAGTGCTTCACTAAAAGCTCAAACCAGACTCATATCCTCAGAGTACACAAAATAGGGAACTGTGTAAATGTAATAAAAAAAAAAGCAATTTCCTCAACAGATTCCTGCAAAGAAGTCGCTTTAAAAAAATACACAGTTTAATTAACAACGGTGCAAAAAGACATATGATGTTGTTACTGCCTTCACTGGCCTCTTCATAAAGAGTCCATTTAAACTCTAATTAGCTCACTCATGGCAGCTTTATTTTGTCTGAGTTTCTCCCTCCAGCTGAGTCTATTCATGGATCTTTTTCACTCGTGTTGCTATTTCTACCAGGATATCCCTCGGGAGCAGACCTTTCTTGACCCACATTAGAGATCCTCGAAATGCTGTGGGTGAAGTAATTATTAGCAAACCAAAAAGATAAAGAGCAAATTTAGTTGTTTTAGCTTTTGTCACAGTAGTAATTTTGATTGCTTGCTAATATGTTTCTTACTTGGAGCATAATGAGGGGAAAAAAAACATATTTAGTTCATTTTTAGCCCCCTAAAGTTAGCATTTTTGTTTGGACATAAAGAGATGGTGCTTTATGTAAATAAAGGCCATTCAATTTGGTATACTGGATTGAATCTCATTTTGTCAATTAAACTGGGTGTACAGGAACATTGATGTCATCATGTGGTCCAAAAAACCAGTTTGGTGCATCATCCTGCTGGAAGTTGCCACATTACTCTGTTATGATTAACCTGATCAGCAATAAAGCTCAGGCAGCCTCATGCTTTTATATGGAATGGAAATTTTGTTAGATATTTCTGTCATAGAGTAAACATAAAGTGATTAAAAAAATAGTAAAAAAAATGTAACGTATTTTAATGTAAAATAAAAATAAAAAATTGTGTTGAATTTTATGAGTAAAATCCAGCGGGTACGAGACCCATCAGGTTCTTATTGTAGTTGCTATTATCTTTTTATGATCTTGACAAACTCTGCCCAGACTCTTTTTACATCCACAAGACATTTTTTGTCCACCCAGCTGCTGCTTACAGACTTTCTTTTATTTATTTTTTGTAATGCTGAGAGGTGGTGGTGGAGAATTGTAGATCAGCGGTTTCTGAAATATTCAGACTAAGCTTTCTGCGCTAACAAACATGTCACATTCAATGTCACACAAATCCTCTTCCTCCCCAATTTTAAAACTTGGTTTGAACTTCAGCAAGTTTTATTAATTTCTTCCTGACCTTGTCTGCATGTATTGAATAGCTTTATTGGTTGATGTGTTGATAAAAAGGTGCACATAATAAATGATCTGGTGAGTGTAAATGAAATAAGGGTTCATAGTTACACACCTCATTGTTTTTGTAATTCTGCCTGACTATTCAAAAAAGTGTGTTCTCATAAAAGCAAAAGGATCACCTGTCGATCTGTAGGATGATGTGTCTCGTCAGCTACCCTTCTTCTCTTTGACTATCCAGCCATATGTATGTTCCTCATACGTCTGTCATTCAGGTTGGGTCACTTTGTGTATGACCATCTATTTTGCCATTATCTATTGGTCTGTTTGGCTAATTACCTGCCCGTCTAGTTTGATGATCCGGAGATCAATAAATCTGACTAAATTCCTTCTGAAACATCCACCCTGTTTCTTTAGGTCTTTAGTCTGAATCTTGCATAACAAAATGCAGAATATAGATTCTTAAATTTAATTGTCTGTGATTAACAGTGACTGTGCGATGTCTTAAACTTTTCCAGTGCCAGGTTAGTATTATCGAGTCTTTAAAGTGACTGTCTCAATGCAAACTTAGTTGCATGATAACACTGCTTTTATTTGTTTTTGTTTTATATTTTTTTTGAATGAGATAAGGATGAGTAAAAGGGGACAGCTGAGGAAATTATGCTAATAGCTGGGGGGGGGGGGGGGAAGAGGAAATCCAGACCTTTTGTAATGTGATTTCACCAGCATCTGCTTCATTTTCTGTCTCCTTCTGGCTGACCAAAATACCTCACTGCTGTTTCAAAGCAAGACGGCGAGATGCGCAGAAAATCTCTGAAGTGAATGTAAACAGTCAAAATGATTAGATGTGATGAACATGAATATATGTTGGCTAATAAGAAAGTCCTGCATTCTTTATTCAATATTTATATGACAATCGATGTGAGTATGCAGTAGTTTCCCTTGTCTCCTGGGTCCTGTGAAACAGTGCAGTGCGCACACAGACATTGAGAAAGTTTACACAAACTTAAGACAGGTCAGCTATTAGTCCGTAGCAGCGCAAGTCACACAACATCCCATTGATATTTTTTAATGTTGTTTGTGGTTGGAGTGTATTAAATGTTAGTAATACTACAATAAAGCATATTGTAGAAGCCCTAAACAGACTAAGACGGGGAGAGAAAATCTCCCCCACACGCAGCAGATTGGTCCACTTCTCTGTGTGGCATCATTTCCAAGAGTCTCAACAGTTAAAGCTATTCTGTGATTTTGACATGACTCAAATGCATCCATCTCCTTTTATAAATCAGCAATGACCAATATCCAAGCTCTGCAGTACCATGTTGTTGTTACACATCTCATCTTCTTTTTTCTGATTTTTCCCCCTTGCAAGTGAAGAATGTTCAATTCGAAAAAAAATAAGCCATAAGATCTTAAATCTTTGCAAAACAAGCTTCTTTACTCAAGCTTGTAATGAATAAAGTAAGATGTAGCCTGGAGTTAAAAAACAAAAACAAAAAGAGACTCATTTCAGTATAACAACCTTAAGATTTTGTTTAGTGATTTTGTTTAACATCAGACAGAGACACAATTGACAGCTGAAGAAGAATAATGCAAACAAATTTCTGACAAACTCAATTACACAACGTTGTCAGCACCAAATGACAATCGTCGCCTCTCATTCGCTGCTCCCCATGCTGCATTTAATTGCTCCCTGTCATTACATTTATTCGCTCACTCTGATTCTGCACTGTATTCTCATATGAGTACCCTGAATGTTAGGCTTTGCAAAGTTAATTTGGTTTTTCACATAGTAATTGCCTGCAGAATCAATAAAAATATGCCCAAATTTCATAAAAAAAGCATGTCAGAGTGATTAGTCTGGAGTTTTCATCTGTCTTGCAACTTTTAATGTGAGTGGAAAAGTTTGAAGCTTTTTATTGGAATAGATGAAGGCACGTTCATCAAGTTGTATTCCCATTTATTCTTCCCATGGCACTGAACTCATGAACTTATTTGTTAATGAATAATTAGAACAAATTGGGCTGTTAAAGTATTTGTCCTACATTGTAGTTGTATTTCTTCCCTCTCATCAAACCCCTTCCAAAATCTACATATTATAAAAGTTGAGAAAAGAATTACAAGCAGACAGATTAGATACACATGCATTTTTATTCTTCATAGAACTGAAATGACTTGATTTTTGTTACTCATTATATTTATCATGGCTTATAACCTGGCATTAAGTGAGGCGGAGGCAGTGGAAGAAAGAAACACTGTCGCCTGCAGGGGGAGGCAGCTGCCATTCAAACCGAATGCTCTTGAACATTTTTGTTAAAAATTCACGATAAAGTAATAAATAATACAATATTTTCGCCAATGTGGTAGAATGCATATTCTACCATATTTGTAGAATATCCAAATAAATCATAGAATATTTGCATATTTCCACAATCGCAGAATCACAAAAAACAAACAAACAAAAAACTGGTGGGATATATTATTAATTTGTATTTTGACCCGAATCACAGCGTTCCAAAACTCTATCCCAAAACATTTCACCTTGTTACTGAATGAATTTTGTCAGGGAGCTGATCTCCAGGAATTGTGTCTTGACACAAAACACAAGATGTTACATCAGATTTCCTTCTGTTTTCCTTCCACTTTTCGGAATGCCATCCCAATCTGATAGATTTTTTTATTTATGAATAAGCAGTAAATAATTAGTGTGTACAAAAGCTTTAGAGCAACAATAATGATGTCCTAAGGGATTTTGCCTTCATCTACAATACATTTTTGTGTGCAAGTGTTTCAAACAAAACAAGCAGTAACATTTGATGCTTGTAGCAGAAAACATTAAACAAATCAAGTAATATAATCATCAAAGCAACTGTTTTACAACCAACCAACTTGTGCAAATATGTCAAATAGTGACACGTAGTAAGATATTTCACTGTACATTTATGTTGCATCTTGCTTTTGGTGAGATTGGTAAATGTTGAGAATTTTAGACAAGTTCTTTTTCCATCTTATTTAACGGGAATATTTTGAACGAACCAATCACACATTTACCAAACCATGACATCAGTATAACCTGAACTTTCCTCTCACATAATTTTGATCATCCTAGAAATTGTGAGGAAAAAAGTCAACATAGCCAAACACCTCTGGACTTTTCACTTGGCTTTAAAGATGGACTGATGCACATAAAAATAGAATATCCCTGTTATAGTTTTGATTTGAATACATATTTGAATTTTGCAGGCAAAACAGGATTTTCATTTTATATAAATTTTTTTTTATTTATTTATTTTTTTTAATGGCTTCTCTTGCCCCAAGGGCAAACTGTAGCTTTGTGTAATAGAGGATGTCAAGAGAGCTAATTCATCCCAGTATCGGGCATAAAAAAGCTTTATCATTGTACATTTTCAACCCATATTTTGATTTTCTTTTGTGAAAGGATGTCTCATAATTACATCCCTGAGGAACAGACACAAACTTATTTCCTTTTTACTTTTGGTCCTTGGGAAACAGGATACTGCATTATCTTAAATGCAATATATTCTTTTGTAATAAGAAAACACAATTGTATGATAATTCTATAACGAACCGCTGACTAAAAAACCCTTGCCTCTTTTTTTTTTTTTATTTCTAACGTCTCTGCTTTTCCTCTTTCATATCTGACACTTTTTGCTTCCTTGAGT